GAGACACAGAAATGAGGTAAAGAGTCTCTTCCCTATATAGACTCTTCCTCCTCTTTTAAAATAACTAGCTCCCATTGGGTGATACTCTTTCTGTCGTTCACCTTTAATCTCCCTTCCTTTCTGCTCATATTTTTTACAGTCCCTAGTTTGCCCTCATATTTCCTTATTTCTTCCATTATTCCTCGTGTCATGTCTTCCAAATATATTATTTTTATATACGTCCATACATTTTGGTTTGTCTATTTTCTTTCTGTCTGCCCCCCCCCCACGAGCCCCCTTCTTTGGTCTCCTTCTTTCCACATTGAGGGTTCTCTGTCTTGCCGGAGTACAGCCCAGTGACCGTCGATTCATCAAAGTGTCACAGTGCAGAACGGCAGCGCTGTGCGCCCGCTCACAAAAACAACTGCCCTGGCAAAGCAAACAATAGCACATACACTCACGCACACATATTTAGAAACTGGAGTTCAGCAGCTCCAACAAGGTCATACTCTCCCTGTCCGAACATTTGGCGGCTAGCACGCTGTAGATGGTTTATGCCAAGCAGATGCTGCCAGTGTGCTAAGCAGTGTACAACATAACTGTTGAACATCCACGGATATCAAGGGTAGTTAACATTTCAGTACAAGCCAACACAAATAGTCCCCGTACTGAGGGATAAAATACACCAACCAATACAGCGAGTTAGCAGTTTTCCTAATTGCTGAACCAGCGTATTTACGACACCTCCATATTCATAGTGGTTCACCTGATCTTACACAATTTAAGAAAATATGACCTTCTTCTTTGCCGCAGGTCTAGGCGCTCTAAAACAGCTCGGCCAGCAGTCTGTTTATGTGGTCTTTACGGTGTGTCAGTGGGGTCAACTGCAAGATGGGCTCTCCGCTGCAGATTTACACTGAGGGGCTCCACTGTAGGTCATCAGCTCCCAGCAGCTAATTTCATAATGCACCCTGGGCGAGGCTTAAATAATTCAGCCCGGCCCCGGGAGTGCAGGAATCTACTTAATCAAAGGCTCTGGGTTTTGAAAGGAGAAGAACAGAGAGTAGACACTGGTTCAGTATACTCTAACCACACATGCATGCTATGGTGAGAAACTATTTTGTGTGTAGTTTTTCACGGTCCAACAAGAACACAAATGGATACTACTACAAATGCATATATATTTGTATTTGATGTTCATCAAAGTGCATTCTCAAGCGAGTAACTTTGAAGTATCTGCTTTTGTCAAATTTAATTGTTTCCATGTCTTTCACAGAAAGGACAAAATGTTTCTTTCTGTAGCCCCCCCCCCCTCCAAAGAAAAAAAAATCTCTAAAAGCACTACCTGAGTCTTTTATCCACGACTGTGTGCTTCATTATCGATTTAAGAGCCGGTCACTTGGCACAGGTGCTCAAACGTCAGAATAATATTTTTTCCGCTGGAGCTGCTGCACTCATAGTGGACTTATTCTCAGTCTTGTTTTTTTTTCCTTTTGCTTCGCTTTATTGAACCCATGAAACATTGAGCCTGGTTTGCTGCCTGCTTAATCATCTGTCATAAATGAATCAGTAAATGGCATGTTCAGTCCACTTATAAAACATGTACTCAAGTATGAAATGCTTTTATGCATTTGCAAAATGATGTTCTTTTTCATTTGATGCCAAGGAGTTATGATTACACCGTAAACATGTTGATGTGAAAGCTAAAGAAGTAGTCCCATAGTCATTACAGTTAGAGCTGCTTTAATGAAATGTTTTTTTTTCTTAATCAGCCCTAGAACTGAACTTGTTCCTGGACATTTCAAATGATGAAGTGTGACAAACCGAACAGAAAAAACCATGAATGAGTCGCAATGATTCATCCCTTTTGACTCATGATGGTCAAAGTCTGTTGACATTTGTGTTTTTTCATTCACCATTCTGTAAACCTATTGCACACTGTTCACTGCTCAGTGTTTCCCTTCATTCTGTTGACTTCTCTGTCATAGCCTTTTTAAAGCTTTTTGTATCTATAACCGCTTTGAGAGTTGCTCTGCTGTTTTTATTATTTTGTTCAAGTTTTTTTTCAAACTAACTGACGTCCTCCCTTTCTGCTGTCGAAAAGATAACAGTTAGTCATCCAGACTTTGTGATCAGAACTACATCCCTACCAACTGTCTGTTCTTTAGTGGTGTGTTATAAATAAATAGCAGACCTTAGAATGGCATAATCCACTTTACATAATTGTCTGTTGAGCCTCCACAATCATTTATGTCGTGAAGCATTTAATCTTAAAACAAATTAGTAACATTTCAACCTTCCTGGTTTTATTTTGTAATTCTGCCCAGTCTACACATCCTGACTCATTGCCTACATAGGTTCACCGTCCACTCGACCCCTATCAGGCTCTTCCATCAGACAACCATTTGAGACATTGATTTGGCTTTGGTCGGATTGAGGCCGGGTAATGAGGGAGCTGATTAGGAGATTATTGGCCAGGCTGTGTGTATAAAAAATCAGGTTGGAGAGGTGGATTTGGAGGTTTTCACTGGATATTAGTATTGACCTGATGGTAATTGGAAGGGTGTATGCTCACTTGCTGCACCCATTTAAAGGCTTTAATGAAAAATCTGATGGAGATGGCCCCGTTTGTTCTATACTCGTGCAGCTAGTTAAGATTGAAAACTGAAAAAAACACACAGCAAAGAGATAAAAGGACCTCACACTGTGATTCTCAGATAGTTCCACTCCATACAGTATGTAGTTCTAGTTTCTGCTTAATTCATTGTTCACAATTTTATAGATGTCAATGCACAGTCGTTTCTAAGAGTCCATTGCAACACTTGCAGATTTCAACAGAGCTCGACACTCAACACAACATCATAAATTTAACTAAAGTGTATTCAAGTAGCCAGGGTTAAGTTACAAAAACATGAGCATATTTTTGAAGAGGTCAAGCACATATGAAGAGGCGCAAGAGAAGGCCAGGCTTTTTTTTTTTTTTTTTTACCAAGAGACAGGCCCCAGGGAGCCAACAGTTGCATGATGGATATATTGTGACTAGAGATGCCATTATCCTCCCGCTGCTGCCGATGCCATCCAGACTGTCGGGATATTTACCTCCTGACATTACCTCCCCTTTTTTCCCCTTCACTGCAGAAAAGCTTGAGCTACCTGTGGCCAAAAGCTAATATTGGTTTTGTGTGTGTGTGTGTGTGTGTGTGTGTCATCTGGTGTTTTTCCATGCGACATCTCAGAATTCACAAAGACGTGATGTGGCATATAGCACCTTCAGTCTTAAACACAAGGCTTGATTAGTGCTGCAGAGGGAAATTCAGGGTTCAATCGTATGGCTAACCAGGGATTATGCATATCCATGCTTAATTTTTGTATTTTTTTCTTCTTCTCTCTGCACAAGCCTGTTAAAAAACTGTTTTGTTTTTTTTCATTTCAAAAAAAGGAGGAAAAAATGCCCCAGTTCTTTTCTCTCTCGTCGCTTCTCTTCATGCTTGGTGTCTTATTACCTGCTAATCCCTGCTGGTTTTTCCAATCATGAAGCACGTTTCAGAATGAAAATTTGGACAGGTTTCTAGCTGCGGGATTGTTCTATCATCAGCACACAAAGTAACACCGAATCCGTGTGTTTCACACGCATTCAACAAGGAATACCAATTCCCCACTGCAGGGATTTACCAAACCAGCAGTCTTTTTTTCTTCTTTTTTTTTTTACATAATTTGAAGCTGCATTGTGTTATTGCATGATGCTTGTTTTAAATGTTTTTTGTTTTTTTCAGTGCAATTAGGTAGTATGGATTGATTTATCCCACACACAAAAAACACAACAGTGAATAATATGTAACAATACAAGAATCATATCACTGCAAGTGTTGTGTTGTTTGTGTTGAATAATGTGTGTTGTCCAGATAACAGATGTCCTCCAATTATGCTTTCCTAATTACATTTTAATCAGGCTGCATTATGATTCAGGTTTGTGGCTGCAGCAAATAAAGAGAAAAAAAATACGAATCATTTGTATAAATAGCATGTATTGTTGCATGGCATTCTAATTTAGTCCCTCCATGAGGTTATTTATGTATGCAGGTTGCTTCTGTGGAACAATAACTTTGCTTAGGTTAGCTTTCTTCTGGAAAAGAAAAATCAATGCTCACTGTGTTGCAGTCCTGCTGTTTTAGCGCAAATACTGCTACACATGTGGTTTTTGTTCAGGTCATCTTATTGTCAGTAATAGCTGAATGCTCACGTTTCATTAAAGATGAATAACTTTATTAGCCATGCTTCCACTTTGAGCCAAGAACCATGACCATCTTAATGTGTAGAGGATTAAATGTGTGTTATTAACTGCTGACAACACACATGCAGAGCTACACAAAACATAAGCGCAATCACACATCAGACCACGTTACCGATTAATTACAGCTAAATCCCTATCATTGATTAAAGTCTCAGCTGTGCTTATAGATCAGTGAAGGATAAGTCATTTAACCAAGAGATTTGAAACACATACACACACACTCACACACACACACACACACACACACACACACACTCACTAGTTCCTCCCACTCCTTACATCAACCCCAAGCTCTGTACTGATAGATGACAAAACACACGATTAAAACGTATGATTGAAGGCAACGGGAATGGCTGTGGAAGAAAATGTAAGATGAATGCAATTACTGTGGTACTCAAGTGTATCTCTCCTCCAGCCGTGTCCTGTTTTAATGTGAGAATGTAATACTAATGTGGGGAAGGGGCCCTTGAGTGAACAAGTGTATGATGATGGAGGTGGTAGAGGTGGTGAAAGCTGGGGGGAGGGCATACCATTTAGCACTGCTATATTAATGGCACATGCTGCACGCTGTAGGTGATAATGGGATGTTGCGGCACTCCATACAAACTGTTGGACTGTGTGTGTGCATTTGATTTCTATAATTGGAAGAAGAGGAGTGTCTGTTATTTTCTTTCACACACTTTTAATTCTTCAAAATGTCTAAGATTTTTCTTTTTTTTTCTTTCCACAGCTCAGAACTGCAGTTACACACTACACAGTCCCAATGGGACAATAGAGAGCCCTGGCTACCCATACGGCTATCCTAACTATGCCAACTGTACATGGGTGATTGTGGCGGCGGAGCACAACCGGATACAGCTGGTGTTTCAAGGCTTCGCCCTGGAGGAGGATTTTGACATCTTGTCTGTATATGATGGGCCACCGAGCCCGGGGAACCTGCGGACACGGTAAATGATGTCTACTTATTCGATGTGCACTCTGTAAATGTGAAGGATATTATCATGCAAAGAGTTTTTATTTCACTGACAAAAGATTTTCAAACTGTTGTCATGGAAACCATTTTTGATAAACGTGGGTAGACATGCTGGCAAAGAGTTTCAAATTTGACAGAAAGGTTTTAGTGCAGTTAAAAGATTCTTGTTGGATGGTAATATTAAACGATTCTTAAACTTTTCATTATAATCCCTATATATTTCAATCCTGGTCATATATTCATAAGTATCCAAACCCTATTCCCAATTGGTACGTGACTCATTTTGACAAATGAACACTTGAAACAAAGGACATGAATTATTTATCACATTGTTGAACTGCAAGATGACTATGAAGGTTTAGAAGAAAATGTACTTTGTGTTCTTTTTGACAATGAATACAGAGTCCAACAATCAAAACAAATAAATTATGTCTACATAATTATTTAGCTTTTTTCAGTACAGACAATCACGGAAAGTTGTACTTAAAGGAAGAACATGCTATATTTAACACATACATATAGCAGAAATCAATTATATTCTGTGTAAATATCTATCAGAGTTATGACTGTCTACAATGAGTGAGAATTGAAAGTTCCGCTGCCTGTGTTGTTGTTCTGAGCCGTATTTATGTTGTGTTTAAATGGATGAGATAGCCGACTCATCCCCTTGTGTAGCTGTTTAAACCAAGGACTAGAGAAAGGGGGAAAAAATGGCCTAACCACTGCTTATTTGGATGTCACGTAGGTGTTTTTAGATCACAGTCATTCTGGGTCAAATGACATGCAATGTGAAGCTCCGAGCTAACTAAAGAGCGCTAACAGTAGCCTGTTAACAAAATAATGCAGCCTTCAGGCAATTGCAGCTTGAGCCAGGGAAAATGTTGTCCATTTGCACTAATGATGCTTAATTATGGTGTGTTCCATTTGATAACTCATTCATGCAAAGATGAAGGGGTTGGAGGTGTGTCGCTGGAGGAGAGCGGAGGCTACTTCGCGGAGGTGTCGACGAACAGCATTTTTTCGGGGGTTTCATGCTGGTGCTCGCGGGCGACATCTTCTGGATCAAAAAGTCGCACGTTATTCCTTTAAGACAAGTTAGCGACTAAGAGGCTAAAAAAATTGCTTTAAGACAATCAGATTGATGCAAACCAACAGCTTAGCCAAACTTGTTCATAAGTAAAAATAATTTACTCAGTGATGGTTTTATCCGAACACAGCAGCTAATCAAAACTTTTATTTACAACCTGTCTCTTCCTTTTCCCCCCTTGTTTTCTGAGATCTCATTAATTACTTTATTAAGTACAAAAACCAATCATTACCAATAAAAACAATCAATTTAAGACCCCAGTCGCAACAGACTTTAAACCGTCCTTTGGAGAGTCATTAGGTATTGATGAAGTCAGTGGACTGGAAACTGGAAAAGAGTCAACACTTCTGTATAATCAAGACTGCAATCAGTGATGCGTTCAGAGGCAGTTTGAGTGTATCCTTTGGTGACTAGTACAAGACGGACTCTGTGGACACTGTGACAGCATTCAAGGTTATTCACTGGGATTCTGGGCCCGTTTTGTGCTTCACAGCTCAGAGAAAAAAAAAAAGAAAAAAAAAGAAAAAAGGAATAAAACTCACCAGGGTGTGAGGACTCAAACAAACAATTTCTGAATCAACAGTCTCATCCTCTCATAAAAGTGTCAATTTAACAGCCTGGAAGAAGTGCTGCCTTGTGCTAACATCGCTGAAATTGTAACTGAAATATTGGCTCTCATGGTTTGCAGACTTTCATGCTCATTTAGTTTACACAGTTCAACTGAACCAGTCTGGATTTGGGAGATAAATATTGTTTGGCTGAAATTGCCATCTAAACAGCTCCACTTCTATTTGTATTAGCTCGAATTATCAGATGCAGAGCAGCTTTCCACTGATGCATTTATGTATTTTTGCCGCCTAATATCTGTCAGACCTCTTGGCACTCCCTCACTTACAGGCTAACTTAATTAGCGACAATCGCTGCATCTGATCAGTGGAAGCTACACAAAAAGCTGCTTTTTGATGCTGTCACCTTCTGCTTTGAGCGTGGCCTTGCAAACAGATTAAAGCATATGTCATGCACGCCCTCTTGAGACGCATGAGAGGAATATTCTTCAGGGCTTTTGTTACTGATGCCGTTTTGAGTCCCTGTCGGCCTCTCAGTTTCTACCCCCTGTCGAAATCTTGCTCACCTTTCCCCCGGCCCCCTCCTCTTCCCTCCCTGCGTCTCTCATTCTCTGCCAGCGTTGCGTCTGCTGCATCTCCCCGCAGAAAGCGAATAAAAGAGAGAAGAAAATCCATTATGGATTGGCAATGCGCGTTTTCGCCTCAGCCTTTTCTCCTGTTTGGACCTCTGGGCGCCGTTGTATATTGATGCTCCGGCGGGATGACGGGGAAGCGTTCCACTCGCTCTGTCTAAGCGCTTTGAAAATAAGCAAGGGGGAAGAAAATGTATTTGAAAGAAGAGAAAGAAATGAGGGGTGAGAAAAGAGAGAATATAAAGAACAAATGAAAGAGAGTGGGAAGCAGTGGCAGCGTTCAAGAGCTCACAGATCTCTCTTGCATTTCTCTTGTGTTGTCTCTGACCAGAATTCCTCTTTTTCAAAGGAGGTGTTTTGTGAAAGTGAGACTTTAAAAAGCTAGAAAAGGCTGGAAGATTTCTCACCAGACTGCCGGCACATACATGTATATTTACACCCCCTCCCCCCCCACACACACACACACACACACATTCACAGCTACAGCCACATTTCCATACACACACAAAGATGCACGTCTGATAATTCAGCCCTCCTTTTGCTCTCATCTCCCACTTGTGTCAAAAGTAATTTTCCTTCCATCTCTCTTGCTCCTCTTCCTCCAATTTATCCTCCACCTCCCCTCATTTCCTCCTCACCTATTTTTCTAAAATGTTTTATCTCTTCTTCCTGTTCTCCATTTTGTGTCCTGCATGCTACATTCGTTGCATTTGATCCATCTTTCATGTACATCACGCTATAGGATGCGGAGCCGGGAATACTTTGATCCTAAGTCATCATCAAAAATGAATGCTTTGCCTCACTTGGCGCTCAAAAGATAACCTTTGATTTATTTTTCAAAGCAGTCGCTTTCCGTTAGATTTGTTTATTTATCCCTTAATTTATTCGCTTCAAGCAAAGCCAAGGAAATTGTTGTCATCAGGAAGACGCTGGTGTACGGATCAGTTTGGCTATATATAAGTGCATGTGTTCCTCAGTATATAAGCACCTGGTTTGTGTTTGTGAGTGTGTGTCTGCTCCTGCAGGAGTTGCTTTATGAGTCACTCTCATGAGTCAGTCTGTTGCTGCAGCACTTCATTAAACTGCTGATCCCAGCTAACGTCAGGGAATGCAAAAAAAAAAACATGGAAAAAAAGATGGAACTTTTAATTGTTTGAAAGGGGGGGAAAAAGAAGTATACGCAGTCATATATATATATATATATAAGGTAAATTGCAGGCAGACGCCGCTGTGGATATTTGATTTCTGGTAATTAAGCAGAGCTGTAATTTCCAGAGGGGGTGTAATGATTTAGTGGTTAAGACCATCTTGCAACCTCGATGTTGTGGAAGATATCAATTACATTGCACAGGCAGAGGTTAAACTGAAGGAAACTAACCTCAAGGTGATATCTGTCTGTGGTAGTTCACATCAATGTTAGCAGGTTAACATCATTTTCTGCTTAATTTAAAAATGTATCTTTTTTCAAAAATATACTTTTTTATAATAACACAAATAGTCTATACATCTTACTCCTAGTTTAACATCCAATTACACCTCATGTCTCTCACTTAAAGCAATATTTTTTGTTTTACAGGCGATTACTCTTAAATGAAATATAAAATATTGATGTTTGTTTTAGTTCCATTTTTTTAGAGCCAAGATTATCAGTCTTTCTACCAAGCCAGGCTACAACATATTCCCATTCCAGCTCTTTTTATGTTATGGAAAAACATGAGAGTTTCCTATCCAGGTCTCATCAAGTCCGTGTGAAAGCAGCTGTGGCTAAGTTGGTATAGAGTCAGTCGTAAATGTTAAATGGTAAATGGACTTGAGCTTGTATAGCCCTTTTCTAGTTTTCTGACTACTCAAAGCGCTTTTACACAGCAGGTCACACCTACCCATTGACACACTGATGGCAGTGGTTGCTATGTGAAGTGATCATCAGAAGTAACTTATCCATTCACACACATTTGAAGCAGCGGGAGCAATTTGGAGTTAAATGTCTTGCAAGGACACATTGTACATGTTGCTGCAGGAGGTGGGGATCGAACCCTTGACCTTCCGATTGAGAGACTATCAACTGAGCCACAGACGTCCCAACCTTCATCTCTCAACCAGAAGGTCAGGGGTTCGACCCCAAGCTCCTTGGACAAGACACTTAACCCTAAGTTACTCTCACTGCTTCGTCAGTGGCATATGAATGTGTGTGAATGGGATTAGTTACTTCTGAGGCCACTTTACTTAGACACCTCAGCCATCAGTGTGTGACCTGCAGTGTAAAAGCTCTTAGAGTAGTCAGTAGACTAGAAAAGTGCAATACAAGCTCAAGTCCATTTTACTATTCATAAGGATGGTTTGCTAAAGTGTTCCCTTAAAGAGGGCTGCTGACCAGTTTGTTTCTATGTATTAGAACAAGTGAATGTTGAGATATGTGATACTTCCAGATTTGGCTGTCTTCATTTTATAGTAACATAGCTGTCATGTGATAAGACACAAACAGAACCTTTTATATCTTGCTTTACCACATCCGCAACTTCCTCTGTTATTTAAGAGGACACTTGAAAGCACTAGTTGAAGAGACCCTTATCAGAGTAGTCCAACTGCAAAAGCTTTTCTCTCTCCAAGCACATTAAGTATAGCAGCTAGGTCTGCCGTCCTAATCCTCACAATATGAAGATCAAGGTACCATTCTTCTGCCAGTTTGGCA